TCCACTTTTTCTCCTATGGCAGTGGAATTTGAGGACGTTCAGCAATTCTACTTTATATCAGAATATAGTCCAAAGATGTGAACCATGCTGAAACACAAACTTTAGGGAGAAAGTGAGTATAGGAGTGTCATCATTTCAACCAAAGATAGTTTTGTTTTTTTTTTCCCTGTATATCTGAATATGCTGAAACAATACTTGTTTGCTCCTTGGAGCATCTGAACCGACACCTTTATTCATTTCCACTCTCGTGTGTGTTGATACAGAATTTAGGAAGCTTTGCCTGGGGTTAATCTCAGGAGCTCAAGTAACAACAGGAGTGATAACACAGCCATGGGCCTTTGAGGAACCCGAGTACCTGCCCTGGGTTTGCTGTGCACCTCTACAGGTGTTACCTGAGCCAGGTAGGTTACAGCCAGAATGAGTTTCCTTAACGTGCTGCAGAGACACCTTCCACTCACAATATTTAGGTCACCACAAGGGCCTTGGTGTGTTTGAATAATGCCAAGATTTTAAAGTGTTGCAATGTCACTTTAGATAAAACACACTAATCAGGTGTTTTCCAGCCAAATTCATGATTGCTACTGGCTTTATTGTGCTAAGAGAAATATTGTGTTAAGAGGAATAAACATATTAGCATTTAATAAAAATAAACAAGGGATATGAATTTCCAAACTCATCCTGTGCAGATATTAGCCATGCCTGAAAGGTTAAACTCCTTGTTCTCATACAGACCTGATGATTTTATGATAATATCCCATTTCAGCCACAGAGCTTTGAGAACCAATTTGAATTTCTTTATTTCTTGGCAATATAACTGTCATTATCCCGTACATTTTGTACTGAGGAGATCATTATGTGGCAATCTGCTCACTTGCTCTTTCTGCTCTTAATTCCTTCACATGGAATATTGTTCATTGTGAAGGTGATTCTCCCCACCCTTGCACAAATTAAGAACAATATGGAGTGTAGGAAAATCTATCCTCAAATTTAGCCCTGAAATAATTACATTTTCTGATCATGTTTTTGGTGAAAGTACAGGTAAATGGAGTTAAAAAGCTGTACCCCACAGCCACTTGCATGCTGTCAAAGAAAATCCTTTGTAGGCAAAATAAGACACTGCAGAGGGCACAGGTTGCCAAATTTAATTGATAACCTCTCAATCAAATATTGAACAGCAAATTCATTATGATGCATTGGCTTCTGTTCCCACTTCTGCTCGGGCTTTTCATCTGAAGCAGTGTCTAGTTTAAAAACCAGAACAAATTGTAGGAGAACAAAATAGAAGTGAAATTCCTGTCTTTGAGCAGCTAGGGAACACAGTTAAGCCTCTTGTTCTGTTCTGCGAGGTTTATTTTGCTCTGCAGCCCATTTTTTACCAGGAATGTGAGGAAGCCACCCCCCCAGCCTGTCACCTGGGAAGAGGACATGGTCCAAGCAGGTAGAGATGTTTGGACTCTCACCTTGAAGAGCCTGGAGAGTGTGTTCCCTTTCCTGGGAATTTCTCCACCACTCAGATCAGCACATACAACAAATAACATCAAATGTAACCTTGACACCCACAGTGTTAAACAGAAATTGTTATTGCTCCAATCCTTCAAAGAGCACTGACAGACTCCTAAACCCCAATGTGTGGGCCTGGGATCCTGATGGAAACACCTCCACTGGCTGTGCAAAGTGACTCTAATCCAGCCCTGGTTTGATGTTTCCTTCTCCCTGATCTCTGCTCTCAGGTGGGAGTTTCCACTTGCCCTTGGGAAGTGTCTCTCTCTGCACTATAAATAGAAGGACGAGGTACCTGACTCTGGAGATTCTATTGCACTCTGGCAGCTGATACCCAAAAGCTGGATGTTGTAGCACATTTATAAGCTCCTGGCTTTCACAAAAATGCAAACTAGCAATGTCAGCATGCAAAGTGCAGTTGGGAACACAGCCTGAGTGGTTTTATCTCAGCATATCTGTACATCCTCTGTTATTTTGGGGTGTTTACACCAAATGTTCTCTGCTGCTACAGATTTCACTCACAAACCTGTTCCAGCACTGCAGGTGAAAGCATCCTCAGCTGGCTTCTTTCTTCAAAGCCCAAGGCCACATCCTTATGGATATCACGCTTCTTTCCAAACAGACTCAACTCTTCTTAGTTTTCTCCCATGGCAAAGAGAGGAGTGGGAATTAACCCCTGAGGAAATGCTGGATTCAACCATAAGCCAACCATAAGCTGAGTTGAGACCAAACCTTTTTTTGTTTCCAGGGACTTTGAGTGGGTTGCTTTGGGGAAATTGTGTTTTTATCCCCTTGAGCAAAAGCAGATGAAGAAACCAGTGAATGGGGTGGGATTAGATAAAGTCTCAGCAGCAGGAAGTAGGTTTCTGGGGTTTTTGTTTGTTTGTTTGTTTTTCGTTGTTGTTGTTGTTTGGGGTTTTTTTGTTTGTTTTGTTTTGTTTTTGTTTTTTTTAATTTTTGGCTGAAAACCTGTGCCTTTTTTTGGCATATGCCTCCATTGTATCTCCATTGCCCAGAAGCAGAACACCTCCTGTGGAAGCTGGATGGAACTGCTGGAGTTGTGTTTCATGGTTAAAATTAATACAGCAAGTAAGGGACCGTTTCTTCTCTTGGTTTAGAGAGTAAGACACAAAGCTGTGAGGAATATGACTGCTAATTGAGAGGGAAACAATAAAAGAGCTGTAAGGACTTGGTTAATCCTCTTTGCTCTGACAGAGTTAAACTTCTCCAGGTCTCTGATAAGATAGGACTGGTTTTCTTTATCTATTGTTTTTTTAATGTTCAAGGCTACTGAAATGCAGAAAGGGCCAGATGGCCATTTAAGCTAAACAATGTGCAAAATCTTTCTTATATTATCACTGAATGCCCCTAGGGTGTGGGAGGGGAAAGGTTGTTTAATCATTAGAAGTCACTTAGCAGCAAATGGCAGTTCACTGTCTTTATCAATTTACAACCAAAGATTGGGGCCATATCTTCGTGGGGACTTTTTCTAATATGACAGGGCATATATTTAATTCCTTTTTAAGTTATCTGGGGATATCTTGCATCTCACTGCATATCACCAAATTGTGGGGCTGTGCTAGCAAATAGGTTTTTTTTCCATATGCATTTGGTCCTATACCAAAATACAGAATTTTTCCCTGGAACACAGGAAACTACTGTGTCAGCAGCAGCAGCAGCTAAATCCCGTTGTTGTTCTGTGGTTTGTTACAGTTCAGAGGAGAAAGTACTGGAGGGTTGAGAACACTAGGGTCTGTTTTCTGTCCTGATCTAATATTTGACCTTCAGCAATTCAACTTACCTCTATCTTCCCTCCCACCCTCGATTTGTATATAGCAGCCATAGTCAACAGGGGCTCCAGAGACTTTGGGAGGTTCATCTCAGCTATCTGAGACACCATGTAAATGTGATCCTGGCTAATTGGCTAATTGGCTTTCCCCCTCGTCAGGACTGTCATGGCACTGTGCTGTGCTGACACACACTGCTTTTTAGCTTGAGAACAGTCTCAAGGATCTCCTCTCAGTAGTGTGTACAGAGAGCAGTGCTGCCCTCCAGCAGGTCAGGGAATCAGAGAGTCACAGAATACCCTGAGTGGAAAAGAACCTGCAAGGTTCATCCAGTCCAACTCCTGGCCCTGCACAAGACACCCCAACAATCCCACCCTGTGCCTGAGAGCGTGTTCCAAATGCTCCATTGAGATCTGGCACCCTTGGAGTTGTGACAATTCTCTGGGGAGCCTGTTCAGTGCCCCACCACCCTCTGGGGGAAGAGCCTTTTCCTGATACCCGTCCTAAACCTCCTCCAAACTGCTTCCTGTTATTCCTTGGGTTGGGAAACAAAAAAAAAAAAAACAAAAAAAACCAGGCCTTTTCAGTTTGCTGCCTGTTTCCATCTAAGAGGAAACGATTTGCCAAAATCTTTTAAGGAGAGGGGAAGCTCCTCCTTGTAGAAACCCTTTTTGGGGTCAAACTGCCATCTGATGCCACCATTTAATTCCCCTTTTCCCAATGCCTTCCCTTTGTGTTTCTCTCTTGCTCTCAATACCTTTGGTTTCAGAGGAAATCTCCAGTGCCCTTCTCTTTGTCCCTGAAGGCTGAGACTTCTGGAGCACTGCACAGAGAAGATGGCTGGGGTGACACATGTGTGACAAACCACTGCTGTGGATACCTCTACAGCAGGAAGAGCAGCTCGTTTTCCTCTGCCAAGGACAGATGACAGCAAAGGGTATTTAGTGATTGTGCTGGGGAGGAAATGTTGGCAAAACAAGCTGGCAAGGCTGGCACCACGCTGGTGGGGTTCCAGTAGGGAGGGACACTCCCAGTGACCTCCCTGCAGCTCTTTTGGGATGGACTGCCCAGGGAGATGGTGGAGTCACCATCCCTGCAGGTGTTTAAGGAAAAACTAGACGTGGCACTCAGTGCCATGATCTGGTTGACAGGGTGATATTCAATCATGGGCAGGACTCGATGATCTCAGAAGTCGTTTCCAGCTTAATTGATTCTGTGATTCTTCTGGCCCTGCAGTCTGGACTTCAATAGGTTTCAAAGCCAGGAGGTTTATCGAACCCTTGGCCTCCCATAGAGGACCTTACAGATTTTTCGCCGTTATCACCCGACTAAATCCACTGATAAGCTGCCAGTGCCCCGCAGCGGGCTGGAACCTGGAACCCCCGCGGCTTCCAGTGCCACGTTGGTCGCTAAACCTTGTCGGTGAGCAGCAAGCCCGGCACACCGAGAAGAGCGGGGGACCACGGGGTCGCCAGCGCCGGGGGCTGCTTTGGAACTCGCTGGCCTCGAATAGGGACTTGCAAGGAGCCAGGAGCCCGGGAAGCGCCCCGAGCCGAGCCCCCGGTGCCTGGCGCGGCGGGGCGGCCGGTGCCTGGCGCGGCGCGGGGGCGGCTCCGCGTCCCTCCCCGGCGGCTCCGCGTCCCGCCCCGCTCCGCCCCGGATTGGCGCGGCCGCCCGGCTCCTCCCGCCGCCGCCGGGCGCAGGGGGGATCCGGCCGAGCCGAGCCGAGCCGAGCCTAGCGGCTCTGCCACGGCCCGTCCTCTGGCCCCGCTCCCGGTAGGCTCCCGCGGGCGCGGCAGGGGTGGGTGGGCGCTGGGTTCGGCGCGGTGCGGGCAGGTGGGCGGCGAGCGGCGAGCGGGGCCCGCCCGCAGCGCCCGCGCTCCGCCGGCCATGGCGGCTGCGGGGCCGCCGAGGGGCCGCTGCTGCCCGCAGGACGGGGCCGCGCCGAGGGCACTGCGCTCTGCCCGGCTTTATTCTATCCTCTCGCTTTATTCTGTCCGCTCTGCTCTCCCAGCGCCCGCTCCCGGCCTCTCTTGGGGGGTTTGTGGTGCTCCCTCCCCGGCAGCGCTGCCGCGGTTCTCCCGGCCCGGCGGTTCGGGCAGCGGGAGCCCGGGAGCGGTGCCGTGTGCCCCGCGCTGCCCGCTCACCGTGCGGGTCTGGAGCATCCCCGCTCCCCCACGGTTGCATAACGCGCTCGTCCCACGCGTGGCTGGAGATACCGAGCCCCCCCTGCTTTCTGCGGGTCAGTCTTTTCGCGGACCTTCTTTTAAATGCAAACCCCCTCCCAAACCGCGTGTTTCTCCCCCCCAGATTTTGATGTCCTGAATTGCGGTCACTTCTTCCTGGTCGTGGGTTTTTTTTTCTGCACGGCTTCCCCCGTGGTTCATACATCGATCTGCCGCCCTTCAGAAGGGAGGGGTTGTGAACTCGCTAAACATAAACAGTGATCCGAAAAGAGCTTTAATGGTTATTAGATATTGTGATAATTCTTGAATAACGCCTTCGCATGGGGATGGCGTAAGAACCTAAGGAAAGGTTAAGAGTACAATTACAGTGGAAGTGATTTCTTCTCGGAATTACTTCCTCCAAGGCCTTACTCGAAACAATAAGCGTAGCTTTTAATTTCTTCACTAAACCAAGGTTATTGACTTGTGCCATGCGGCTCCCAGTTGGAAAAATCTGCTTGGATCAGCCGGACAAGTGGGTCTGAGGCTCGTCCTGCGAGGTGCTTCGTACAACGCCCAGCAGCCGCGTGTGTCCCTGCTGTGTTTTTAAATAACCGGCTTGGATGGGGCTGTAAAGCTCAGCCCCAGCAGCCCGGAGCGTGTTGCGGGCTGTAAAACCCGCCTGCGAGGCCGTGTGAGTACAACAGGGGCTGGCCCTGCCCTGCTGGGCGCTGTCCTGGCCGTGCCACAGCGCTCGGCATCCACTTTTGGTGGCTGGAGATATCCAGAGCTGTGGAACAGGCGAACGTGTGGCTCAGGCTCCAGCCGAGAGTCTTAATGAGTGTTTGCGTAGTGCTTCGTGTTTTCTCGGATGAAAGGTTTTACATAATTGGCCATTATAATTGTCTGTCACCCCTAGAGAAAAAAAAAAAAAAAACCTAAAAAATAAGCGTGGAGGTAGGTAGTTGCCTTAAAAGTCCACAGTCTAAATGCCTGTAGGTTGTGAATGCTGATACTGGTGTGGAGACAGCAAAATGACTGAGTGAAAAAAAAAAGAATTAATCTAATTCTGTCCTCCTTTTGAGCCATTTGATCAGCATCATTGGGACAAATGACATCCTGCTTGCGTTTGAGCTGCTTGTTCTTCGCTGCCCAGAATTCCTAGTGTGACTCTGGTTCTACCGGTGTTAATGTTTTTTTTTTTTTTCTTTTTCTTCCCTTGAAATCTTAACTGGAAGCCTTTTACAGTGTTTTGATTCCTTTTTAATAAATGGCTAATCCCTTGCTGCAGGGGATGGGAGTGTTTTGAACGCAGCATTTTTGGGTCCTGAGGGGAGGGGGAAGGGAGCGCCTTGTGTTGCTTTCCAGCAGCCAGCCGCCTTCCCCCAGCCTGAGTGAAAGGGCCTTATTGACTGATTTTGAAGGTAACCTGCCCAATTCTCCTCTTACATGCTAAAACCCATAAATTTGCTGTAGCACAGAGCCTTTGAGGGGAAGAAATGGAATGTCAAGGAGCCTGGGCTTCATCACGAGCAGCCCGGTAACAAAGGCACTGTCTGTTAATTGCATCGTGCTTATCAAAATCTGCCCTCCTAATGACAAAGTAATAATTTAATAGGTGTGAAAAAGTTGTGGGATTTGATTTAATACCACTGTCTTAAAATCATTCTGCATACTCAGTATGACTAAGTTGTCACTTTCATATTTAATTGGGGAGCGAGCAGAGGCTGAGGAGAAAGCTGGGGATGTTTCACTTGCACTAAATGCTCTTTAAAATCTTTTCTCCATTTGGAGAAGGACTGTGAGTGGTTTGTTAAATGCTAAGCTGCAGCTGAGTGACTTATAGGTTATAAAACACCTTCCTGTGTCTCTTAAATTTGGAAGTTCATTTTGAAGCTTGTGCTGTGGGTGTTCATCACAGTGTTCACATACTGGTGTGCAGCTCCCGTGTCAGGAAGGACTGTGGTTTTGGGGTGTGGAGGTGCCAGGTTAGGTTTGGGTGATGTGAAGGTGAGCACTGTGTGGTGGATGCACGGTGCTGCCTGGGTAGGAACACTCCCTGAGGTTCCAGGTGTCAACACCTTCATCACGATGTGTTATTTTCACTTCTCAGTGCCCAAAGCAGCGTTTTGGTATAATCCTCACACAGAGGTTCTTGTATTCCCAGCAGACAGGGCATATTTCAATATTCCCCTTGCAGGTTTGATACCAGTTTTCAGAGAAGAGAGCAGCTTTTCTTGGACCTGATGGTTGAGCCTATAAGGAAAACACAGGACTGATCCTAAACCTATCGTGAAATATGATATAGCCTGGGAAGCATCTTTCTTGCCCTTGTCTGCTGGGATTTTTTTGTCTCTTTTGGATGATTTGGCCATTGGATTTATCACTGGATGTTTTTATCCATAGAGTTAAGCTTTTGAAGGAAATACTGGTTTAGGGAAAGTTATGGGTTAGAGATCCTCTTCCCAGCTCTGTAAGCTCTGCAGGAAGGAGGGCACAGGAATGCTGCTTTGGTATGTCTGGCTGCTCCATTTTTATTTGTACCATATTTTACTGGCTTTGTTTTCTAAGCTATTTTGATTCTATTAACTTATTAAACTTAGAGTCATTAAAGTCAGTGTGACAATCTTTCTTTAATGTAGGAATGTTGTCCTTTATTTTTTTTTTTTTTTGCAAATGTCCTTTTTTCACCCCTAAAATATGAAACAGAGTAATTGTCCACAGTTCAGATTCTGCCTGTAATTGTGGGATTTGTGTTTGGAATTCACATTGTAGTTGTGGATTTAGTGTTTATTCCCCAAATAACTTTTTTTTTTCTTTGTTGTGGAAGGAGAATATCTGCTGTATCACTTGCTAATCCTGCTATTGCAGTTTTATGCCTAGAGCACAACTGGAGCTGTATTTACCACTGTAGGCATGGTGGTTGGTTTATTTTATTTAACTATTTTGAGTATCAAACACAGAGAAATTGCTGCAAGACTGTCTGGTGTAGGTACAGGATGAGCATCAGTGCTACCATGACCTGGCTGTCCAAATTTGGGTGTCTGCAGCGTCATTGTAATGGGTGTCAGGGAGAGATGGATTAAATTTAGCTCGGGTGTGCCCCAACATGTTGCAGCTGCTCCTCCTGGTGCAGTACAGGGCTAATAGAAATGTTTACATAGATCACCTTCCTACACATCCCAGGTTCAGCCACCTCTTTGGTAGCAAGTTGCTGCTGGGCAGCCACATGACTGCTTAAAGCTGTTTGGAGAGTAGAAATACGCTACAGAGGGACGTATAAATGGCTGTTAATGAACTGTCAGCTTAAAAAAAAAAAAATTAGAAATGGCCGGCTGGTATCTTGGGGTGCAGAAAATAGTGCTGGGGGTTTTTTCTGTGTGATTAAAAAATAATCCTGCTTTAGAAGCTGCTCTGTCTGCAGTTCACAGTGAAGTGATGGCATTTGGGTAGCAGGGAAGCAGAATTCCTGCCAGTTAAAATCTTGCTGTCCTAATGTGCCATTCCATGCAGTGCTTGGAAGCTGATGTACAGTGTTCTTCTGCCTTGCAGCAAAACAACTAGTGATTAAAAATTCAGTAGATGCTGTGGTTCACTTAACTACTTGTTCTTGCATCATTCAGGTCATATCACACAATTAATGTTGCTAATGTTCAATCTAGCTTTTTTTTTTTTACTCTAAGAATGGAAATTATCTGAACTACCATGGGATTTATAGAACTGTTTTGGCAGGAATTGGGCTATGCAAAGTAAGTTATTCAGGACTGTTTTTGCCCTTCCCTTAACTTGGAGAATCTTCTTTTGATTTCAGAAATATTATTTGTTCATGCCAGACAGGGCTGTAATTTCTGCAGCTTTTCTGACTTTAAAAATCAAAGTGTTTTCTCTTGATTGCTTTGAGATAAATGAGACTCCCTAGATGAGAAGGAAGAGGGGGAGAGCACGATAGGTGTAAGTGCTTGCTTTCTTACTTAAACTTTGTGTTTCATTTGGCCATAGAAGTATTTTTGTAAGAGAATTCTCATTTTGTTGCGGGCAGGGTTTCTGCTGCTTTCAGTACATCCACTTTTAACTTGCACAATTTTGGTTAATAGTATTCAATCCAGGGTGTCACTTACTTGACTTGGAAATTAGCAATAAACTTTACATTCCCCTGCTTATGTTTGTTTAATTATGTAAGTTTTGGGTTCTTTTTGTAACACACACAGATTCTAGAAATCTTTTCTGGGCTGCCTGAAAATAATATTCATGTAGGAAGCAACTTGTAGTTTGTTTTTACTTCTTTTAGCAGTTTTCTGCTTGGAAGCTGGTGTTTATGAAAGAACCTTATCCACTGTCTTTGTGGTCAGTGCAGTAACTTGGTTTTGGTTGCCTTCCCTGCACCTTCTCAAGCCTCTGCTGCTGCAGTGGGAGATGCTCCTGGGTGGTGCCCCCTAAACTGGAGGGGTGTGTTGATATGAGCCTTCATGGCTTGTGCTGTTCTAAGAAAGATAAAATGCAGCCTGACAACAGAGAAATATTGCTGGGTATTTCAGTGCCTTTGAGAGGAACTTGCTGTGGTGGGGCAGCTCTGGGCTCCAGAGCTTGAGAAATTAAATTGAGGGTATACAG